TGCATGCTGTGTCCCAATCCCAACCCCCACTTCCTGCCCCCTCCCTGTGCCAGCAATTGCCCTGAGCGGACCCAGCATGGCAGGGGGAGTCTACAACACAGCCTGTCCTTACCACCCATGGTAGATTTTTAATTGTTATTTTCATTTATGTTCTGCTTAAATAAAATAAAGCAGTGTCTGTTCTTCTTTAGTTAAAAAGAAGGTGAGTCACATACTTTACATTTAAGGAAAACATTTTTTTGGTGGTTGGAGAAGCATTTTCTTCCTTTCTCTCTCTCTCCATCACTCATCCCCAGAAGGGGATTACAAAAGGGGCCTGTAGGTGTAGCAGGTTAAACCACCACCTACAACGCCAGCATCCCATATGGGTGCCGGTTCAAGTCTCGGCTCCTCCACTTCCAATACAGCTCCCTGCTAATGTGCCTAGGAAAGCAGCAGCGAATGGCCAAGCGCTTTGGGCCCCTGCACCACGTGGGAGACTCAGATGGAGTTCCAGACCCCTGGCTTCAGCCTGGCCCAGCCCTGGCCATTGTGTGGAATGAACCAGTGGACAGAAGAACTCTCTCTCTCTCTCTCTCTCTCTCTCTCCCTCCTTGTTTCTCTGTAACTCTGCCTTTGAAATAAATAAATAAATCTTAAAAAATATAAAAAGGATCTTGATAAAAAGAAAACAAAACTTGCCATAGGACTCCAAATCCTATTAAGTAATAATGTCATCTTAAGTGTTGAAGTGACCACATTAAGTTTTTAATTGATCATATAGACAGAACTAAGTGTTAAAAGGATCATGTAATAAGATCAAGAATCTGGTAATAGCAATAGATAGAATTAAAAAGCAGAGAATGTTCCAACATGGGAAGCAGTCCACACAGCAGACTCATAGAATAAAAATCATTCTAAATAGCATTCTGACCTCAGAATCAGCCCTTAAGGCATTCTGGTCCAGCTGAAAAGCCCATGAGAGCATTTCAGGTGTGGAAGGCCAAGACACTGTGGCAAAAAATGTTCTACATGAAGGATCTTTGTGAGTGAGACCCCAGGGGAAAGAAGGGGCCATCAAAGAAGGAGGTACTTTCCTCTGAAGGGAGGAGAAAACTTCCACTTTGCTTATGGCCTTGTCTAAATACTAATGGAGACTGGATCAAAAGGTTTCCATAGCCTAGGCAGCTCATGTCAAGAGCCTCAGGTGATCACTGACATCATACATAAGAGCGACAATTGTTAAATCAACAACAGGAGTCACTGTGCACTTACTCCCCATGCAGGACCTTTGTCTTCAATGAGTGGTATGAGAATTAACTGTAAAACTTGTTCTCAGTTTTCTATATTGTGTGTGTGTGCAAATTGTTGACATCTTCACTTAGTATAGAGTTGGTCTTCTATAAAGTTAAATAAAAACTAATCTTAATGGAGAATGGACTGGGAATGGGAGAGGGAGGAGAAAGTGGGTTGGAGTGGAAGTAGAAGGGCAGGTTTTGTGGGAAGAATCACTACTCCTAAAGTTGTACTTATGAAGTTTGTACTCATTAAATAAAAGGTTTCTTTGGGAAAAAAAGAAAGAGAACAAACAGTTCCCAACACCTGAGCTGGCTCCCCTCCCTTACTCCTGCTCCAACTTTGCTGCTCCCTCTGACTGCTGGCCTGAGGGGCCTGTACCTGGGCTGTGAATATACAAAAACATTATAGATCTTTCTGCCCTGCCCTGTTTATCACATTTCTCAGCCCTAAGCTCCCTACCAGTTATTCTAACCCAACCAGAGGCATCATCAGTAGCCACAGTCAGCCCCTCTTTTTTTCATTTCTTTATTATTTTATTTGTTTAATACATCCTGTATCCTCCTCCAGATCCAAGGGGCATATCCTGATCCTTGGACCAGAAGTGGTAGATATGGGGCAGCTCACTGGCATTCCCATAAATCTGCCTTAAATTCTCTATCCCAGGGGCCAGCCTTGTGGCAGAGTGAGTTAGGTTGCAGCCTGCAACATTGGTATCCCACGTGAGCTCTGGCTCAAATCCTGGATGCTCCACTCCCGTTTCAGCTCCCTGCTAATGTACCTGGGAAAGCTGAGAAAGATGACCCAAATGCTTGGGTCCCTGGCACCCATGTGGGAGACTTGGATGCAGTTTCAGGCTCCTGGCTTCAGCCTGGCACAGTTCTGGCTGTTATGGCCACCTGGGGAGTGAACCAGCAGGTGGAAGATATCTCTCTCCCTCTCTCTCTCCCTCTTTCTATAACTCATGCTTTCAAAGAAATAAATAAATCTTAAACAGTGTATTTTATCTGGAAGATGAAACACACTAACCAGTCTACCCAAAATAGCTCACCAGGTGATCAACAGAGCAGAGGCAAAGAAAGGGACCTTGTGACGGGGAGGGATCAGAAACAGAGGTGCACGTCTGTGCCACGATGGCCAGCCAGGCAGGTGTACACGCGACCCCACACCCCTTGGAATGACCCTGCTGGATGCCTTGTGGAGCTAAAATAACGGGGGAGTTACCTGCCCAAGTGCCTGCCCCAATAAGTTAGAAGATGCTGGAACATGAACAAAAACTTTGGGATATTGGACTCCCAGCTCCACGTTTGCCCCACTGGGGGCAGGGCTGGGTGAAATCCCCAACCCGCAGACCCTGGGCGTCTTCCACAGAGCAGCCCCCTAACTGTGCGACTTTGGCGGAGTCACTCGTCTTTCTAAAATCGGTTTCCCCAGCTGTGACAGCAGGGCTCAAGTCCTAGCTCTGGTGCTGGGGAGCAGGTCGGAGCTCAGAGGAGGAGGCAGTGTGCAGGCCCGTTCCCAGCAAGGGCGGCTCCCGGACAGGAGCAGGGAGAAGCATCGGAAGCAGGGTGGGGGGAACCAACATGGCTGCCGGCACCAGCTTCTTCTTCTTCTTCTTTTTTTTTTTTTTTTTTTTTTGACAGGCAGAGTTAGTGAGAGACAGACAGAAAGGTCTTCCTTCCATTGGTTCACCCCCCAAATGGCCACTATGGCTGGTGCACTGCGCCGATCCGAAGCCAGGAGCCAGGTGCTTCCTCCTGGTCTCCCATGCAGGTGCAGGGTCCAAGCACTTGGGCCATCCTCCACTGCCTTCCTGGGCCGCAGCAGAGAGCTGGACTGGAAGAGGAGCAACCAGCACAGAATCCAGCGCCCCGACTGGGACTAGAACCCGGGTGCCAGTGCCACAGGCAGAGGATTAGCCTAGTGAGCCGCGGCGCCGGCCCGCACCAGCTTCTTGATGGATGGGCAGGGCCCCCTCTCTAAGGGACATCAGACATACCTTCCCCTCCTCCACCTGGGGGTTTTTAACTTATAGTTTTTTTTGTTTGTTTTTTTGTTTTTTGTTTTTTTGTTTTTTTTTTTTTGTTTGTTTTCCAAAAGGAAACTTTAGTGTCTATTTTAAAACCCTGTGTTCCAAGGTTTTCAGTTTAGTACCTATAGGTCCCCTACTCCCAGGCCAGAGAGCTGCCTCTCTGCAGGTGCGTCTCTCCCCACCTCCTCTCTCCAGCCCTCCTCCCTCCCCAGCACACAGCCCGACAAGGTGAGCCCCTGAGGCACCGTTCTTAGGAAACAGCAGCTTCCCGATGACCAGGACTGGACAGTGGGACTGGACACAGGTTCGGGGTGGCTGCACTTCACTCTCACCCGGGAGAGGGAGTGAGGGTCCTTGCCCCCGGCTGGGGTCGCACGTCCCTGGAGACCAGGACTTAACCCGCATTCTGGCAGGTGCAGTATAACAGGGGTCTAGCGCACACAGATTATGGTGCGGTTTATTAACATTTTTATTATCGTTGTTGTTAGAATTGGAAGGCGCTCCCTGGGGTGATTTAATCCTCCTCCTGTGGCGCCGGCATCCCATATGGGCGCCAGTTCTAGTCCCAGCTGCTCCTCTTCCCATCCAGCTCTCTGCTGTGGCCTGGGAAAGCAGTGGAAGATGCCCAAGTCCCTGGGCCCCTGCACCCACATGGGAGCCAGGAAGAAGCAAGCTCCTGGCTCCTGGCTTTGGATCAGCACAGCTCAGGCTGTTGCGGCTATTTGGGCTTGAAAGACCTCTCTTTGTCTTGCCCTCTCACTATCTGTAACTTTACCTTTCAAATAAATAAATAAAATCTTGGGGGAGGGGGGGCTAGCGCTGTGGCACAGTAGGTTAATGCCCTGGCCTGAAGCACTGGCATCCCATATGGGTGCTAGTTCCAGTCCCGGCTGCTCCTCTTCCCATCCAGCTCTCTGCTATGGCCTGGGATAGCAGTGGAGGATGGCCCATGTCCTTGGGCCTCTGCTGCACCAGCGTGGGAGACCCGGAAGAAGCTCCTGGCTCCTGGCTTTGGATCCGTTGCAGCCATCCGGGGAGTGAACCAGAGGATGGAAGACCTCTCTCTCTGTCTCTACCTGTCTCTGTAACTCTGTCTTTCAAATAAATAAAATGAATCTTTAAAAAACTAATTAATTAATAAAATCTTCAGAGAGAGAGAATGGGCAGTGAGCAGGGATCCAAACCCATGTCCTACTCCTGGCCCTGCAGCTGCCTCTGTGGACAAAAACGAGAATAAAATACAGACAGCCCCAGGCCCTGCTCCTTGGAGTTCTCACGGGAGGCATGGACAGCCCCGCACATCTCCATCTACAGGAGCTCAGGATGTCTCAAGAGGCCAGCACTTTCTAGCGGGGACCCGGGTCCGAGGGCAGGCACTGGGGTGAGGGCGCCGCCCTGTGCCAGGATGGACCAGCAGGCATCGGGATCCAGAGCTGGTGCAGCTCTGGAAGGCGGGACCCAGGCCACCCTGGCGATTTCCTCTCCATCAGGGACAGTTTTGGGGGCGGGGTGGGGTGCGTTTGGGGAAAGCAGGAGGCACGCGGGGGCAATGGCGCTAGTGAGTGGACGTGGGCAGCAGGGCGGACAGAAGGCAGAAGCAAACGCATGCATGACGGACACACAGGACACACAGAGGGCTAGTGTGTGAGGCGGGGAGGCGAGCGAGGCTGGGGATTAGAGAGGAGAGGCTTACTTCAGTAGTTTGATATTACACATAATCAGCTCCTTCCAGTTAACAAAAATCATAGCAACCTCTTTTTCTGTCAGCAGCTCAGACTCCATCAGGGGTTTCTGAAAGATCTACAGATGCAGAAAACGGAGCAGTTCAGAAAGCAAACAGTTAGCGGTCCACTCAAACAGGCGCGCGCGCACTCCCCCCGCGGCAGAGCAAGGGTGGGGCCGCAGCGCCGCCTCTGCCGGGCGGGAGGGGCCCCAGCAGGTGCACAGGGAGGCCAGCCCCACTCTCCTCCAACGCTGCCCGACTGGGCGTTCTGGGCCACCTCTGCAGGCAGGCTGGGCCATCTCTCCTGCCCGCTGGGGCGGTGAGAAGAGGGGGAGGCCAGGACGCAGGGAGGAGGGATTTAGAGGTGCGCCAGGGTGTGGCTGCCCCTCCCTTCTTTCCCGGAGAACGTGCACAAAGCCCCAGGCATGCGGCAGGGGAACAGCCCAGCGCAGCAGGGCCTCTTCCAAGCAGCGCTACCCTGGGTGACCCTGGGTGACCTCAGGGACCGACTCTACAGCTCTGTCCCCACCCACACTGCACAAAGGTGTCCTATCTAAGGGAGTGACATATTCCAGACATCTCCAACGTATAGGTAACTACAGACAAGTGTCTCGAGTTTGCACCAGTGCCGTCCATGAGTTAGTGTAGCCCTGGGGGCCAGCAACCCTTCCTGTACTCCCCCCAACACGGGCCAGCCCAGCCAAGTCTCTCCTGGGTGCTAAGCCCCTCATATGAAGTGGACTGGCTTGTGATGGTTTGGGCTCGTGGCGGGCGGGGTTTGGGGGGTTCGAAACTGCCACAGTACTTTTCAAGCTGTAGATCGGCCATCAGCCCCAGCTCTACAGATCCTTTTAGCTCCTACGTGAATCAGGGGAGGAGCTAGTGGAAAGTGGGGGTGCCCAGTTCTGCATCTCCTCATCCTCTGGACGTGGGGCCCAAGGCCCTGCTGAGGTTCCCTGGGAGCACAGAACAGACCAGGGGGCTCCCAGGCACGTGGGAGGAAACCTTTCCAGTGGCAGGTGGCGCATGGCAGGGGCAAGGGGCACCAGGAGTGACCCCAAGCAGCCAGGTGGCCACCCCATGACCGGGGGCCAGGGGCATGACGGGACCACCTCTGTGGCATCACCGAAAGTGGCTTCCCTGGGAGAGCTCTGCCCGGATGTCAGACTTCCCTCCCACCACAGGAAGCTTATCTTTTCATTACGTTTTGCCCCTTGTACATCTTCCACCGACTCCTCCAGGCCGCGCTGTGTCCCTAGGTGTGAACCATTTCCGCCCCTTGGCTATGGCTCAGAGTCTGATTTGCTTCTCCGGGGGAAGGCTCTCCCCCCGGAACTGGGGTCCCAGGCTCAGAGGTGCACCCCAGGCTCCCGCCTGCCTCCCCGCGCCCCCTGCCCGTGCCCACCCCCCAGCACCCAGCGCTGCGCTCACCTCTGTGACCAGCTGCAGATCATTCACGTAGTTCTCCTCGGTGACAATGAGCTCATGGATGTAGCCTTGTCGCTTTCTCTCCGTCGGGGTCAACATATCCAGGAGATGCAAGTCTGAACACCCTGGAAGACACAATCGGTGGCGGCCATTCAGTCCCAGGCTGTGGAAGCCCACGGTGAGGCTGCCTCTCACCAAAGACCGGCGTCAGACTCGGAGCCGCAGCAGAGCAGTGGAAATGGCTCACACCTGGGGCACGCGCGGCCTGGAGGAGTCGGGAGAAGATGTACAAGGGGAAAAATGCACCTGTCGTCAGGTGCCTCAGTGCAGGCTGGCGGTGTGGCACGCTCCACTGTTCCCCCATGAGAGATGTGCTAACATCCTACCAACCTCCCGGACCTGGAGAGCGACCTTGGCTGGGGACTGGGGGTCTTTGCAGATGTCATCGAGTTAACATGAGGTCATACTCTATTTGGGTGAGCCGTGAGCCCTTCTAAAAACAGAGACGGACACAGGGAGACACCGGGTGACGACAGAGGCAGAGATGAGACTGATGGGTCTGTAAGGCAAGCAGCACGGGAATGACAGCCAAGCCAGCAGCCAGGACAGAGGCCGGACAACACCCAGGACAGAGGCCAGACAGCGCCCAGGACAGAGGCCAGACAGCACCCAGGACAGAGGCCGGACAGCGCCCAGGACAGAGGCCAGACAGCGCCCAGGACAGAGGCCAGACGGTGCCCAGGACAGAGGCCAGAGGCCAGACAGTGCCCAGGACAGCGCCCTGCCTGCGCCTTATCTCAGACTACAAATTCCTGTTGTTTCAAGCCCCCCAGCTGGGGGCCTTTTGTTATGAAGCCATAGAAAGTAGCAAAGGCCACACACTCCTGATCCGTATCCCTGCATTTTATAGGTGCCAGGTTAAGCCACGGCTTGTGACACCAGTGTCCAATCAGATTGCAGCTCCAGTCCTGCCTGCTCCGCTTTCTATCCAGGTTCCTGCTAACATACCCAGGAAGGCAGTGGATAATGGAAGGGCTCGGGTCCCTGCCACCCACGTGGGAGACCAGGAGGGAGTTCCTGGCTCCTGGCTGCTGGCTTTGGCTGAGCCCAGACCTGGTTGTTGTGGCATTTGGAGAGTGAGCTGGCAGATAGAATCTCTCTCTCTCTCTCTGTCAATCTGCCTTTCAATTAAATAACTAAATGCTTTAAAACACACTAAAATAATGTTAGAATAATTAGTAACAATTGGCCATACTTTCCTGAGGACAAAAGAGCTGTGCTAAGAGTTGCCCAGTGATGATCGCTTTCAAAGCGCATATGTTAATCTATAATTATCCCCATCATACAGATGGGAAAACTGAGGTTTACAGAGGTTGACTCACCCCCAGTATCTCAGCTAAGCAGTGGTTAAGACAGGAGCCGAGCCCTGAGACACGGACCCCAGGATCTGACTCTTACCCCTGACCAGTACTGTTGGTCTCAAGCCACAGGGGGACATCGGGTTACCCAAGACTGGTTTTGGGAGGATGAGATGCGTATGTTGATGGGCCCAGGGACCAGGTAAATGTGAGGTGTACCTGGAACCAGCGCTGTGGCATAGCTGGTTAAACCACCGCCAGCAATGCCAGCATCCCATATGGGTGCTGATTCGAGTTCTGGCTGCTCTACTTCCAATCCAGCTCCCTGCTAACGTGCCTGGGAAAGCAGCGGAGGATGGCCCAAGTACAAGGGCCCCTGCATCCACATGGGAGACCCAGATGAAGCTCCTGGCTCCCGGCTTCGTCCTGGCCCAGCCTTGGTGATTGCAGCCATTTGGGGAGTGAACGAGTAGATGGAATACTGATTTCTCCTTCCCTCTCTCTCTTTTTCCCTCCTCCTCTCTGTAACTCTGCCTATCAGATGGGGCATATCCTGGGGCCAGCACTGTGGCACAGCAGGTTAAGCCATCACCTATGACACCAGCATCCCATATAACACAGGTTCAAGTCCTAGTTGCTCTGCTTCCAATCCAGCTCCCTGCTAATGCGCCTGAGAAAGCAGCAGAAAATGGCCCAAGTGCTTGGGCTCCTGGACCCATGTGGGAGACCCGGATGGGGCTCCCAGCTCCTGGCTTTGGCCTGGCCCAGCCAGCCCTGACTGTCACAGCCATTTAGGGAGTGAACAAGTGGATGGAAAATTCTCTGTCTCTCTAACCCCCCCCCCCTTCCAAATAAATCAAAAATAAAAAACTTTTTTAAAAAATGTGGGGCGTATCCAGACAGGGGTGGAAAAAGTTCCCCTGGGGAAGCTGAGCAGCACCTGCCACCAAGGCCAAGGCCGCCAGAAAGAAAACCCTGAGAGAGTGCCCGCCCTGGACTCTGCTCATTTAACTCAGCTGGGCGCTCGTTTGTTTCAAATGTGCACAGCTTATCCCTGCTCCAGGCACCGTAGAATAAGACGTGGGGAGGCTCAGTTCTCAGGAGACCTCACATACAGGCCTGGGCCCACCTCCTCCAGGCCAGTGGTCTCCCAACTTCTTATCTTCCTGATTGCCAGTTACTGTGGCCGCTGAGTCCCATTCACTTCTTTTTCTCATCCCCTCCTCTCCCCACAAGGGGGCGTGATGGAGCACAGTGAAAAAAAAGCCCTACTGGGGCCAGTGTGGTTGATTCCCACAGGACAGGTGCAGTCTCTCTTGGACCGGGCTGGAGAAGCAAATGATCAGGCCCCTGCTGAGTCGCATTCCTGGGGTTGGAGGCGGGGAACCTGCGATGTAACAAGCTCTCCGTGGTTTAGAAGCCTGCCTTGGCCTCCCAGGGGTTCCTCAGTTATCAGCTTCTCCTCCTCCCCCTGCTGGGGGGTGGGGTACCTGGGTTCTGACTGCTCAAGTCTCTGTGCTAGAAGCTTCTGCAAATAAAATGATCCTTCTGGGGTAAATGGGATCATAGACTTTTTGGTAAGTGCTCAAGAGCTTAATTCCAGCCCCCCGCCCTGGCCAGTCACCCTTTCTAGGGACAGGCGCACCCCAGGATGCAGGACAAGCAGGAGGCATGAATCACCGCCGTGGTAACCCCTCTGCAGCCTTTGCTCACAGCCCTCTGCACCCGGGGTTCTGGTTCCCCGGGGACACAGGCAAGTGTGAACCTCTGCACGGCTTGAGGCTGTGTCTGATCCGCTCTAGGGCCCTGTGCCCCATTGCGCCACCAGCATGGCCCTGCTGTTCTTCCTGACTCAGGGCGTTGACGGTCTTTTATTAAAACAGCTGCATCAACAAGGAACTCCCAGCGCGGAAGGGAGTCACCATTGCTCAACTCATTCAGGGAAGCTGAGTGACATCACCAATTTGTTTGACTTCTCACCCAGAAAGCGCTCAAGTTCGGAGATGGTGGTGGGGAACATAGCCAATTCCTGCCTTATTTCTACTCTGTTCTCCTGTGAGTGAGGCAAGGGCCCCTGGCCTCGGGCCATTGCTTGTTCCAGGGCCCAGTGAGCCCTTGTGTGATGGTACCTGGATGCCTCTTACAGAAGCGGCCCCTCAGGAGTTTCCCGGATGTGCCCTTTGCAAGGATATTGAAAATCAGGCACCAAGGAGCCAGAGTTGTGGTGCGCAGGGCTGAGTGGCTGCCTGTGACTCCAGCATCTCATATGAGCGCCAGTTCAAGTCTCAGCTACCCCGCTTCCAATCCAGCTCCCTGCTGCTGGCCTGGGGAGGGCAGCAGCAGATGGCCAAGCCCTTGGGCCCCTGCCACCCACGTGGGAGACCAGCGTGGAATTCCTGGCTCCTGGTTTTGCCCCAAGCCTAGCCCTGGCTGTTGTGGCCATTTGGTGAGTGAACCAGCAGATGGAAGATCTCTCTCTCTCTTTTTCTGTCTCTTCCTCTAACTCTGCCTTTCAAACAAACAAATAAATCTTTAAAAACAGAAGTCTGGCAGCGAGCAGTAGTTCTAAATACACAAACACAGGGTGGTAACGCAAATGCCAGGCCGGGGCGGTCACTGGTTGGACAAGTCATCTGAATGTCCCTGAGGTCACGATGCCTTTGGAGGACCTGATGGACGCTCGTGTACAAACACACAACACACACACTCCCGTGTTGCACACGCATTTATTGGGTTCGGGGGCCTTGTGTCCTGCTCATGGACCTCATTCATTCATTCGACAAGTGATTTCCTGAGATCTTCCCACGAGTCTGCAGCAGACTGGGCCGGGGGCTGGGGATGCAGGATGGACGGAGAAAGGCATCCACCGCCCAGGGTACAGTTGAGAAGCCTGGGTTCCTGCCCTGTCCCTGTGTCCCTGCACTGAGGGTTCCTCCCACCCTGCCACCAGGTTGAGATTGGAAGTCTCCCGGCCCAGGTGGAAGGTCCTGTTAGGTAGGAAGTTAGAAATCAGCCTGCAGAAGCCCAGCATTTTACATTTCCAAGTCCTGCCCAGGCCCTGATAACCTGCCAGGCAGTCCCAGATAAGCATCCTTCCTCCAAGGCCGGCACTCCAGTGGGGAGCCCCTTGGCCAAGGCCAGCAAGACTTCCCCTGTCTGGCAACCTCAGTGGTAAACCTGGAGAGGAATTTTTCTTATATACACCCAACAAGCGCTTTGTCCTGGAGGAGAAGTGGGGGGGGGGGGGGCTGGTAAAGAGACTCCCCATAAACCCCGGCGTCCAAACAAAGACTGTGCACGCAGCTCTCTGCTCTCCGCTGAGCTACCTGCCTGGCCTGCCCAGGTGTGTTCTCTCCATTCAACCATGTAACCTCGCTCTCCCGCAGTCCGAGCGACCGGGCACTCTCTCTCCATCCCTTCCGTTCTGACGGATGCCCTGTCCCCAATAAAACCTTATCACTTTGCTCTCTGTCTCATGTCCTGCATGAAGACAGGAACCCCACAACTTCTCTCCTGTGACGGTCCTACAGCACCTGCCATGCCCCAGGGCTGAGAGTGTGTTCTTGGCTGTCTTAATGACAAAGTGGCTGTCGGCATTTGCCAGGCTGGGCTCGAACTGCTAGACGACCTGTAAGGTACCAGATAGAGGATGGGCCGCCCCGAACCCCAACAGCACCCCATGGAGAAACACCAGCGTTGTTACCCAGACCCCGACTACACTCTGCGGTAAGGGGTGGCTGGGAGACAGCCTCAGAGTGCCTGGAAAC